GAGGAGGTTTTCACCTTCCCCCTTCGTCCCCCCGGTGCCCCCCCCCATTTTTTGGATCCTCACTTTGGGGCCACCCCGCCCAAGGGGGGAGACCCCCCGGGGCCTTTTGAGTCCCGGGGATCCAAATTTTTTGTTCTTCCCCTTCTTAACCCCCAGAGAAAGGGCCTTCGTCCAGGGGGGGGGGGGGGGGATTGGTCCCGGTAAATCCCCCCAATTTTGAAATGGGCGGGGGCCCGGGGGGAATTCCCAAATTTTTTCGCCAAAACCGTCCCAGCCCATATCCAGAAACCCCTGCGGGGGGCCAGGCCCTTTCCCAAGCCCCAAGCCACCACCCTTTTTAAAAAAAACCCCCCGTTTTTTTCCCCCCCCTCCCCGGGGGGGGGGGGGGGGGGTGTACTCATAGTCGTGCATGCCGTAGTCGTTTGACCATTGACCTCGCATCCCTACAAAGCCGGGACGGAGCACGCCGGGTTCTCACCGGACCAGGCTCTCACATCACCAAGCGCGAAGCGCCGTGAGGTATTTGGCGAGTCGCATGAAGGGTGAGCTGCATCCTGCTAAGGGTGTTCGGCATCTTGTGCTTACTTCCTTGCGTACGGATGACAGCTACGTATGACTTAATTTATTTTCTGGTGCTTTCACTTCCAGAGACAGTTGTAAGCACTGTGTAACTGCCTCGAGGAAGCTTGACCATTTTAACACAACGTGGTGCGATCATCCCCCGTTGCGCGGAGCGAGGTTTCTCGACCCCGCACAACATGATCTACTCGACCACCATTATGGTTACCGCAAAAAAAAAAACCAGAGGTAAAAAAAAAAAGACGGTAACCTGGTTGCCGAGTTCACGAAGTGAATTGGCTTGTTTTACAACGTCGTTGCCAATCGACGAAAACCCAATCCCCTTGGCAAACACCGAGTGGGGGGCTTGTTTTACAACGTCGTTGCCAATCGACGAAAACCCAAACCCCGATGGCAAACACCGGGGGGGGCGGCTTGTTTTACAACGTCGTTGCCAAGCGACGAAAACCCAACCCCCATGGCAAACACCGAGGGGGGGAGGGGTGGGGCGGATAAATATCCATATCCTGGTCCTCAAAGCCTTGTCCCGTTGACGTGTGTTGGGTTTTCTATGGAACTATCTGAACCTGACTCACTGCACCGCTGGACTATGCGCCGCACCTACGACGAAATAATGTCCAAAACCGATAAGCTGAACTCCACGTTCACGTGTACGGGCGTCCACACCTGCCATGGAAAAGGGTTGCTCCAAGCCACCGTAACCTCAACCACCGCAATCTCTTTTCAAAAGTTACCCATCCACCGCAATGAATTGTGTTTCGCGCACGCATAATGACGTTCCCGGGTCGCAAGCCCCCTTCCAACCCCATGCACGAGAAAGTCTCCGCTCACCAAGTCGTAGCTGACGCCCTTGCCTTCTTCCCCTACCAGCGCGTCGAACACCTCTGCGTCAGTGATCTCTTTGTTAATGGTCCGCTCGTTGGACGTGTGGCCGATCACCTCGAGGAGGTTGTCCAGGGTGACCTTGCCCGTGTCGTCATAGTCGAGACGGTCGAACGCCAGCCGGAGGTTCTCGTCCCTGACATGTCCCTCGTGCAAACACGCCGCGACGAACTCCGTGAAACCTGCCAAAAAAAGAAAATTCAAAAAAAGCAGTTCGCAAAGAGTGAGATCGTGTACGGGCGCCCACCTGAGACGGGTGATGGATGTTATGACAGACAACCTTGTTTTGCTCCGAAGCATAAGGGAACAGATGTTGCCATTCCGGCGTCGTCCGTGGGCGGAAGTAGCACTGCTCAACGCGAATCTTCAGTTCTGGGCCGTCGAAGGAGCAACGTTGGAGCGCGGAGCGAGTCCCACCAATCTCAGTTCAAGACGATTTCGACCCTGGCCTTACTCGGCTCGCGCTTGGGGTCTCGAGCCCGCGGCAGCGGAGTTGTGGATCGGAGAACGCTCCGCGTCCACGCCGTCAAGATAAAAACTCGGTCGGACTTCGTAGGCGGGCGGCCGAAGCTACGTCGGCAGCGAATCCGCGCCCTCTGCTTGCACTAGGAGTAGTAGAGGGCTTGGGTGGCCGTTGCTCCTAGTGCAGAAGCAGAGGACGTCGGCGTAGCTGATGCCGCCTGCTTACGCCTTTGAGTGGTGGCTGGCGCCTTGAACAGAGTCTGCGTGACGGTCCGCCCTGTGGGTTTGCGTGGTTGTGAGCTCCGACAGGCCAAGCGGGTAGTTCCTGGCGGAGGGGTTTCCCCTGGACCACTTCATCCGTAAGAGAAGGAGGCGATGACACCGCCTGGAAGTTAGCTCTTTCGGGTTGGGGTGGGCTAACTCAAGAACAGATCGCCCCACACTCAACACCAGCAAGCACGGCCGTGCATACTGCTCCACCGTGCGCGAAGCCCATTCCCGCCAAGTGGTCGTTGTGGCGACAAGTTTTCCACCGCCTCCTCCGAAGGACTACGACACACACACGCACACACACACATCAACACGTGATGCAAGCACACTGTACCTATCGTGCCATCCTGATCCAGGTCCATCTGTTCGAACAACTTCTCGACCTCCTCGTCCGTGTAGTTATCGGACTTGTTGAGCGCGTTCTTCAGGTCCATCGGGCTAATTTCCCCGCGGCCCTCCACGTCAACGTTCTGGAACTCGGTGCGAAGCGTCCGGATTTCTGCCGGAGTGAGGGAATGCGCGATTACTCCGAGCGCCACGCGCTTCAGCTTCCCGTAGTCCTGTGGATTCGGGGCAAAATAATGACTTGATGAGCATGGTTTTAACTTTCGGTTTCGGGACCACATACTGCTGTACATCAGTCATGTGTGTGTTTCGTACCCCCAACACTGCGGGATTTTCTAAACGTCTGGTGTTGGGAAAGCGAAAAACATAGTACGGGGGCGTGTTTATGAAACTTCATATTCTGTCGTTCTATTTTCGGGTGGCGGGGAGGATATACAGAACGCAAAGCACCAAGGAGAACGCGCGGTTGGGCCTCTGGTTCTGGCAAGTTCAAGCTCTGCACTGGATGCGGCACGACAACCGGCCACAAATCCCAACGGATGCACCAAGTACAGGATTGTCGGAACCGAAAGGGTAACCGAGCCACGCCCTGGCGGTGCGTGGTTTACAATCTTGTTTGCAGTTGTTGACGTGGGTGGCTTATGAATGCATACGGCGGGGCCGCTTTGCTGCTTCCAACCCCCCAGGCCCCGTGCGGAGCTGACAAAACACGATGGTGCGTTTGGTATGTCGGGATCGCGATACGGCCGCACCTGGTGTTCATCTCAACGCAAAAAAGCAGTGCAATGGATGAAAAGCGCCGGAAACGAGAACACTCGCAACCTTTCCACCTAGCCAGACAACAAGCCTCGGCATAGGGCCGAGGAGCAATGCTTTCAACCGTTGTTCCCACCAACCGACCTCTCCTCGATCAACCCACCGCGAAGTTTCTGAGCCGCCGAACAAGCTCCGGGTCTAGCGCCGCCGACGACTCCGTCGTCGGGGGCGCCGCCGCCACCGCCGCCGCTCCTTCCCCACCCTTTCCTTCCTCCTGCCGCTCCGACATCGCCTGAGCCTGAGCGACGGGTTCTACGCCGTTTTGCTTGTGTCGCGGCTTTGTCATCCAGGGGTGTGCGCAGGCCTCGTCCGCGGACATCCGCTTGGCCGGGGACTTCACTAGCATTCTCTGCAGCGCGAAACACGCAACGCACAAAAAACACGAAACAAACAGATGCGAAAAGGAACCGGGACTATATGTATAGGCGTGTGTGGCTCGATGACAGGGGACGCCAGAAAACAACGAGGTATGGTGGGCTGGTTGGAAGCTTTTGGAAGCGCGGTCTACTGTTATGACTGCCTATGCAAGCGCTCCGAATACTTGTTGCTCCGAGTGCTGGCCAGCAGGCCGTTGACCTTCTTGCCCCAGCCAGTGCTCGTCCGCCGAAGAGGACCACGGCATAGGGCTAGGGTTGGGGTTGGGGTTACGGATGTTAGAGTTAGGGTGCAACACAACGGGTTGAGAATCTCGACGACGAAACGGTGGCGTTCCAAAACCTAACCCTACCGTAACGCGTTTCTAGCTACACCTGGTTATACGTTCTTTTCAAAACGAAACAGCAGAGAAAGAAGATTGGATGGTACGCCTCAATCGCCACGAAGCGATGGGCCATGGCGCTCTCCCACACACACACACACGATGAAGCATGCCACACACCTTGATGAAATCCTTCGCATCGTCCGAGATCTTGGCCCAGACCTCCTTCGGAAACGACACCTGCCGGGACAACATCGAAGCCCGCAATCGTTACAAAAAGCGGCAAAACCACGAGAGCCAGCGAGCATTCATAGCAGGGGCGGACAATGGAATCCGAATAGCGCTGTAAGGCCTACAGCACCAAACGGCGTCAGTGAAAACATCACGGGTCGTATCGGAAGGCAAGACTGCGTTTAGAGAGGGAGGTAGACATGGGATCCGCAAACGGTGAACGGAACAAATCGCAAAATAAGCAGCGTCGTACTAGCTTGCATACGGCGCCATCGTAAGAAAGTAGCGTGCTCTTGTCCGGGTGGGACAAAGGTTGTGCTATGCATACGAGTAGGCTTGGATGCTGTTGTTGGAACAAAATGGCTGCCAAGAGCCCCCGCGCCACACGAATTCCGAGCCTCGTGTACGTAAGAAGAAAACATGCAAAGATGGACAGGCTGACTGCCAACACCTCGGCCCGAATGATCTGAACGCCCCGCCCCTTACAACGACGAGGCAAAGCCAACCGAAAAGATTCAGGTTGCCCGTTGTCCCCCTTGCCCTCCAGCTCGATACCCTAGTAAGCTCCAAGCGTCTTGGTAAAAACAATTAATATCGTCTGCACGCTTACCCTTGCCCACTTGATCTTGATCTTAACCCCCTCGTCGGACGGGGCCATGAACGGCGGCGCGCCCGCCAAGAGCATGTAAGCGATCACCCCGATGCTCCAGCAATCGCAAGCCTAATAGGGCGCGCGCGCATTCGTTTTCGCACCACGGGGTATTCTCTTGGGTTCGTATTGAGGTTTGTTTTTGTCCTGGGAAAAAACTCTTGTGTTGGGAACGTTTTTCGGCGTGCCGCCGGATTTACTGTCACGTGTGACGTATGCGTCCATCAACAAAGACGCTAAGAAGGTCCTACCCACGGGTAAAAAATTACAGATGCCCGATCATACTGACTTGCTAAGCTACAGGCTTGGCCACACACAGACTGAGCTAACATCGTGAGAATTGGCAACCATCGTCAGACTTGGCCAACGTACCGACTTTGAAAACAGACTTGGCTAGCTGCAGACTCCCATTGCACGCAGACGCAGTAGAAAAACGACACGTTGCAATAGGAACCTTGTTCCAACATGCCGAGCCGAAGCAAGCATTCCACCGCATCAAATACTCCGTACCAAGACAAAGGCTGCCGCATTGTCGGCGGTTGTCGACGACGAGAGCGCCACGATGGGCTTCGCAAGGTCCCGGGAGGCGGCGCTCACCTTGGTGTAGTTCCTGCCCAGCACCTCGGGGGCGACGTAGTACAGGCTGCCCACGTCCTGGTGGAAGGTCTCGTCCTCGTTGGAGAACTTTACCCCGAGACCGAAGTCCACGAGCTGCGTGCCGTCAGACGGGAGGGTGGGGGGGAGCCAGAGAGTAAAGGCAAAGGGAAAACCTATTGAGAAACCCACCAGACAACACAGAAAATCACCACCGGCACCAGCGACGAAGACAGGAACCATGACACCGACAAACAGAAACGGACATGACGCACGACCTGAAGCAGCAACAGGCAGAGAATCGACGCAACAAAACAAGACAGACACCTCTCCATCCAAAGGAGCTAAGCTTGCATCCCGAAAAAACAAAGACCTGCGGCTCCGCGTTTTCTCCCGGATGCTCCCACAACAAGTTCTCCAGCTTGAGGTCTCTGTGCACCACGTGCTGCTTGTGGCAATACCGCACAGCGTTCACGATCTTCTTCACCGTCAGCGCTGCCTGCGCGTCAAGGAAGCGGGCAAACCACGATCGATTGAGAAACGTTGCGGCACCACACGCGTGCCGACGATGCTAGGAAAGTGGCAAATGAGCGAACATGATTGGCTACGGAATACGGCAAAGTCAACGCCAACATGGAGGGTACGTTGAGCCAATGGTTTTCCAGGACAGACCGACCAAGGCCATCGCGAGGACTCCAACTGGTCTCAAGGGCATCTCGCACATGTGCGCACCCCCAACACGTGTCACTTGGGTAGTGCATCGAGAGCATGTGACATCCGACAGGGAAAGTAATCGCACCGACACGGCCATGTATGAAACAAAAACCGCGGCGGCCTTTCCTGCATAGCTGCCCAAAATGCGTCGGAACATAGCGTATTCCGCTTCTCACGGGCAACGACATTAATTTCGGCACCACAAGCGCCCTCGACTCTTGCGAAGATGACGTCAGATGCATCTCGGTGACCACTGTAGGCCCAACCCCCAACTCGACACATCTAAAACAACGCTCTTGGGAATTGTGCATAAGCTCCGCCTGGCCTTCCACTTCCTGCCGACCACTAAGGAACGAGCGACAACATGACTTCGTATTTCTATGTCAAAACCGGCCGACAGACAAGCGGGGTACTGTATTCACCTCATCTTCAGAGTAGCGCAGCCTCCTATTTCGTTCCCACCTCGTCATCATGTCCCCGCCGGTGCACAAGTCCTGCGCCGTGTTCGAGCGCATACATACAGCAGCGCAGACACGAGGGGTCAAGCTGGCAGACAGCCGACAGAGCAGACAGCACGCCTGACGACGAAATAAATTACCGGTAAGTAGTGGACAGGCCTGCAGACAGCACGGCTGACGAAAAATACGATGGTTGCAGCTGGAGCCTGCACCCAAGAACCTCCTATTTAGGCCGAGTCTCGTGTCTTGTTTTGTCGACGGGGGGTCCCCACGGCGACTATATGAAGTAGGTTTTAGCGTAGGCTTCTTGACGAAGCACCTGTTCCTATGGTCAAGTTGTTACACGTTGGAAACATTGAAGCTCAAAATTCTACACCACCAACTTCTTGAGTGCGGACCCGTTCTGCAGACAGCACGGTTGACGGCGAAAGAAACGACGGTCATATCACATGGCAGGCAGGCAGCACGCCTGCGGCAGAGTTCCCCTTGCCTCTGCCTATTGGACGTCGGATCTACCCGCAACAAACACACACACACACACACACACGAACATACGAACGAACAATCGACCAACAGAGGGACAACAACTCACCATGACGAGAAAGAGCGAATCTTCCGTCTCGAAGACTTCCTGCAGCCTGACGATGTTGGGGTGGTCCAGCCTGCGGATGAGGTCTAGCTCGCTGCGGAGCTGGCCCATCGCCAGAGAGTTCTGCCATGCCATGTCCCATAAACAAGAAGACTTAAAACAAGCCCAGTACCCAGCCGGTTTCTTCCCGCAATCAATGTAAAGACTTCATCTTCGACTGTGGCTGTATCTCGAGCGGGTAGTCCCTCTTTTAATGTATGAATATTTTCTAGCAAATATTGCATGTGCAGGCAGGCATGCACCCGTGTCAGAACTTCCGTGCTTCGGGCGAACCCTAACAGCACGCGATTGTGTCAGTGCAAGTGCAAGTTCCAATTTTCTCAGAAAACATACGCATACAAGATTTGAAAGACTTGTCCGTACCCGAGAAAATACCCCAGTCCAAGGGAGGCGTTGAAATATTTTTCGGTGAGTGGAGAAGAGAGGCTGCTGGGCTTTTCTGTCGAAATTGTCACCTTGTGTGTGAGCTCCCCCATGTCATGTCAAACGGCCTGATCCAGTAATTCCAACCTCTCCCGCATCAGCCGAACCGGGCTTGAGCACTCAACTAGGGACCACCACTGTGCTACTGCTGTCAACCGGGTTTCGTAGAGAGCACCACATTTAGAACCAGTGACTGTCAGGGGGGTTCCGTGACTATAATATTCGTGCTCGCAATGACTGGCATACCCACCTTCCCCGCGCCCAAGGGCACGGTCTTCATGGCGAACTTGACCCCCGTCTTCTTGTTCACGACCGTTCGCACGACGCCTTGTATCCCCTCCCCGAGAACTTCGCCTTCGATGTCATAGAACTCCTGGATGTCGCTGTCGTCGCGGGAGCGCGCGCGGAGGGGGGGGGGGGTGTACTCATAGTCGTGCATGCCGTAGTCGTTAGACCATTGACCTCGCATCCCTACAAAGCCGGGACGGAGCACGCCGGGTTCTCACCGGACCAGGCTCTCACATCACCAAGCGCGAAGCGCCGTGAGGTATTTGGCGAGTCGCATGAAGGGCGAGCTGCATCCTGCTAAGGGTGTTCGGCATCTTGTCCTTACTTCCTTGCGTACGGATGACAGCTACGTATGACTTAATTTATTTTCTGGTGCTTTCACTTCCAGAGACAGTTGTAAGCACTGTGTAACTGCCTCGAGGAAGCTTGACCATTTTAACACAACGTGGTGCGATCATCCCCCGTTGCGCGGAGTGAGGGTTCTCGACCCCGCACAACATGATCTACGCGACCACCATTTTGGTTACCGCCAAAAAAAAAAAAAACGAGGTAAAAAAAAAAAAACGGTAACCTGGTTGCCGAGTTCACGAAGTGAATTGGCTTGTTTTACAACGTCGTTGCCAAGCGACG